CCACTATAGATAGACCTGTAGATAACTAGAATAGGCGTTGTTTTAGCAGCTGATTATTTTTTTCTATAATAATAGAACTGAATGAACTGTTGACAATAATTTATTTGCGAAATTATGTTTTTGAAAATTTTCCAGTACTAATTGAATATCTAGACCTCGCGAATTAACCAACATACCCGATGTTGAAACCCGGACCAAAACCCGTTCTGTAATTACGAATAAAAACGTAGATAAAGCAACGCAACGTCTTTGTTTAATATGAGGTGTAAAGCTTGCGTCTAAGGCTTATTACTTATTAGGCCTAGGTATTATAATAATATGATACATAAATAGAATGGACGTTACGGCTTCGCATAGAATTTTTATCGATATATTAGGTCACACTGTCTTGTCTCTATTATTAGTTCCGTGGACGTTCACTTTTGCTGTTAGAGCCAAAATGGCGAAAATCAAATCGCCTCATTATGTCACGGTGGAAAGCCAGTCGCTTGTGTGTTACTAGAACCTGTTACATTAGTTAGCAAACAGGTACAGGAGATTTAAAATAAATAAATTGTAATGTAAATTATTCAAAAAATAAATTATAAAATCATGGCCAAGTGATATTCTATATCGTAAAGCAAAAAGTACGAATTGTTGGGTTTGGTGATCAATATGCGATTTTCCCCGAGTCTACCTTTAATCTTATTACTTAAACCGCATATTCTTATACAGGGTGGCCCATAAGTCCCTTGAAATGTAAAAAAATAATTAAAAAAAAACTAATGACATTATGAAAAAGGTTTTTATTTTGTCATAATCCTTATAAAATGGGAATTATTTTTTGAAAATTACATCATCTAAATGTAATCCGTTACGATCGCGGCACTCCTGTAAGCGACGTTTAAAATTATCCATCACTGCGTGGCAAGTAAGCTCTGTAATGTTTGCCATTTCTCTTTGGATATTTTCTTTCAGGACGTCAATTGTCCGCGGGTTGGTTTCGTACACTTTAGTCTTAAGATAACCCCATAAGAAAAAGTCCATTGGGGTCAGATCTGGACTACGTGGTGGCCAAGGAATATCTCCTCTTCGAGAGATCACTTTATTAGGAAAAAGTTGACGGACGACCGGCATAGCGACGTTAGAGGTATGGGCAGTTGCTCCATCTTGTTGAAACCAGGTCCGCGTATTGAAGCCTGGAAAATTCTGCAACTCTGGTGTAAAAAAGTCCTGGATCATAGCTACATACCGTTGTGAAGTAACAGTAAGCGCGCGGCCTCTGCCGTCCTCAAAAAAGTAAGGGCCTATAATGCCATGCGCTGACATAGCCGCCCAAACTGTCACTTTAGGGCTATGTAAGGGCTTTTGATGTTTGCGATTTGGATTTTCGCAACTCCAGTAGCGACAATTTTGCTTATTGACATGGCCGTTGATGTGAAAGTGAGCCTCATCAGAGAATAACACGTTATTAAACGAAGTAAAGCGGTTCAACATTTCATTTGCGAAATTTAGTCTGTGGATAGTGTCAGTATCTTTTAATTACTGTACTAACTGAATCTTGTACGGGTGAAGATGTAAATCTTTCTTTAAAATTCGCTGTAACGATGTTCTGGGTAAGTTTAATGCACTGGAACGCTTACGAGTAGACTGGGTAGGATTTTCACGAATTGAGTGTTTCACTACATCGATGTTTTCTTCCATCCGTGATGTCCTTGGTCGACCTGACCGTTGTTTATCCAACGTCGAACCACTCTCTTCGAACTTAATAACCCAGTTCTTAATCGTTTGAACACTTGGAATGTCTTTAAAGTTGCGTAAATTCTGATATTCTCGAAATTTACGCCGCGCAATGGTAGCCGAATCATTGTTTCGATAAAACTCACGCACACAAAATGCACGGTCCGCACCGGTGAAACGCTCCATGGCGACTGAATTCCCAGAAACCGTCGGTACTCCCCCCGCACCGCGCGCGCCACTCATGCGCGCCTTTTGTATTTTATTCGAAATTTACATTTCTAACGACTTATGGGCCACCTTGTATAATAGGCTTGCTTAACTTTCACGTATCGGGCGTGACTTGTGGCACTTTATCATATCCTTCGTTTTTGGCAACTTACTTCGACATTTAAAAATTTTGGCTATTATCAAAACCATTCATAAGAACATCACCTTAATATAAATCTAGAAGAAAATCTAAAGCAAGTCAATGATTTTACCATAATGCCTTAAATTAAGTTATGCAAATTATTTAGGCAGCTTTATCTTGAAACGGACAATGTGCTTCTATGAGAATTCAGGTCATGTCCTAGGTCTGTAAAGGTCAAGGTAACCGTCTAACGTTACGGTGCCGTTATAATATTATTCTGTAAGATCTTATTTTAAATAATAATTTTTTTTTTGAAAAAATAACGAACAATATTACACTTGGTTAAAAAATATTTTGTTATATTTGCCAAACCATTTTTTACATTTTATAAAAATAGAAATTCGTTGGTTAGATGATTTATTTACCACCAACTTCAAAAAGGAGGAGGTTTACAATTCATTGGAATCTTTGTTTTTTTTATCTATGTTCACCAATTACTCAAAGACACCTGAATCGATTTGGAAAATTCTTTTTTGTTTCAAAGGGTATCGAAATCGGTCGAGCGGATTTAAAAAAAATCAATAATAATTTATATTCATATTGAAGTCGATTGTACAAAGTTTTTAATTTTACCAGTTGTAGTATACTACTATTTCGTCGTAGTGTTAATATTTTATGTTCTATTATAAACATAATTCAATATGATGAGAGTGACGAATGAGTTAACAATCCACCTAATACTTAAATGGCGACTGCGGCGTATGGTGATTTGAGAGCGGGTGAAGAAGTACATAATAAACAAAAGCAATATTATTGTCGTTCTCATCAAAACTTTATAACCATACACAAAGTAACGTTAACATTGGCAATAGAAAAAGTTTTTCGATGTATTTTTAAAGTATAATGATTTAATAATTATTTAATTAATGAGCATCCGAAACGTCGAAAAGTAAAAAGTTGAAATTAAACGGAATAAAAACCGTAAAATTTGTTTCATTTAATTTTTAAAATATACTTATTTATTTCGTGCTCACGCCTAACGTCACGCATCACGCCATGACAACTAGGACTGTTTTATTAAGGCTTCTGCATATTAATTTTAGCTTGAGTAAAACTTGGAAAATGTCTACACAATTTTATATTGGATTAGTACTGGCTTTAAATTTCGAAAATGTTTTACTTTAATTTACCTTAAGTTGGCACTTAGCAAGCAAATGTGGTAGAGATTCGAGGCAATCTATGGGTGAAGCCTATTTTTAGCATTCCACTAATGATACGCTGTGATAAATATATTCATGGTAAAGTGAAGTTAATGCATAAATACTTTCCGCAGCTTGACACAGGTCTCCTGTCATTTCTGAGAGAAACTTAGGGTAAGGCAGTATCCACCACGCTGCCCCGATTCATGCTGGCGGATTTCACATGTCTTCGAATTGTTCATTTTGAATTTCTCAGACACATTAGATATATCAGAGATATTCTTACGATGTTTTTCTTCACTGCTGAGCTCGTGAAAAATCAGCGTTTAAAGTTGAAATCAAAAATTTTATTGATGCCAGCGGAAATTGAATCTGAGTTGCCCAGGTTCTCTATCTTTTATGATGAGTGCTTAACCTCTGAGCTATTATGGTTTAGCTATAATAAACCAATTATTAGAACACAAGTGGCCATTTCCCACTTATCGTGTGATAGATCGATTTTTTATCAAATTAGTATAGCCTCTGCTCATACACGTAAAATTTGGCAGGGCTTACAAATATTAACAATAACTAATAATTCGCCTTAACAATAGTTTTCCGTGTAGTGGTGGTGTAAGAAAATCCACTATCTCGTGAGTGTCGTAAGAGGGGACAAAAGGAAATGAAAATGTGCAGAAGCATCTTCTTGATAACAACTCGAAAACACTGCGGTTGCCAACCAACTAAAACAAAGCCTATATAGCAAACAAATGATTACTGTCAGATTATTATTGGATGAACAAAATGCTCTCCCATTAGATCATGCAAATTTTTGTAAAATCTGACAACCCAAATGAGAGAATGGACCGTTAAAGTGTATTAACTAATTGTCTTCAAAGATTCTCAATTATTTAACTTTCTTGTTTTTCATGTCCCTCACACTAGAGAACATACATGATCATTTTATTTTAAGTAGGATTTATCCATAAATACCTTCATGTTGCGTATGATCATCATTATATTTAGTTATACTGTGATACTTTTTGAAATAAATTACGTAAATAATAAATGACTAATAATGAACGTAATCGATAAAAATTATTAAGTAAATACTAGCAATCGTACATCGAGCATTATTCGTCGCGGTTATTCCGTCCAATCATTTTATGAATACTTTTTGAAAATTACTTTTGCATTTCCCTAATCAGTGATTCTGGAGACGTTGCTTTGTAAACTAACAATAATAAATATTGGTACAAAAGAAGATTTACTTCGTTTAAATTTATTAAATCATATATATTCAGTATAAATATGAATTATATTGTTACTGTTTCTAATGTGTATTTACTGTAGCGCATAATTATGTATTTTCATAAAAACAACACTTGAATTTGTTGGGAGTAAAATAATTCGAGGGCATGTGAAGTTCGCAAACACGCTCTGTAGTCATAACCCTCTCAGAAATGATAGGGGGCCTGCCTACAGATGTGGGATGTACTAGTATATAGGATTAAATTTTGGAAACATTACTATATTATTTCTTTTACAGAAAATTTGTAAGGCTAGTTTTATAAAAAAATCTCAAATCAATCTTAATATTCCATGTTATGTGTACAACTATGTCCTCCAAGGAATGTCCAAAGAATGGTCGTAAGCTTCCTGCATATATTGACTTCCTGCATGTTTTACAAACTACAACTATATTATAAATTACTTATTTACACTAATATATTCTTTTAATTCTGTTTTGCAAGAACGACTGTCTGTACGCTGCTGTAACATCATTAACTAAGAATCAAGCGGAATATTCCGATAAGTATAACTGCTTGTAAGTATCCATATTATATACGAGTATTTTGTCTTTACGACTTACGTACTTCTGCTTAAGCATTATATATATTTTACATTATCACTATGGTTTTCGATATTGTTCGTATTTTACAAGTTATGAGTTAAAAAACTATTTCCTTACTGATTATTACGTTTTATTATTAATGAATTTTTTTTTATTAAATAAAGTCTTATTATTATTATAAACCTGATTATTGAAACAAAAAATTGAAACTATGGTTACATAATTGTTTGTAAAATTAAATTTTAAAACGCAACCTTATTTTTATAATTTACGTATAATAAAACACTTGAAATCCGTTACGTGTACAATATATTATAATATGTTGTTCTTTGCACTATTCTGCAGTGCCATTAAAAGCTTGGTGCAAATTGCTGAGATCGTTTCAAGTGATTGTGTAAACAATTTTCCTTTTAATAAATAAACAGCTCCATTTTGTTCAGACGAAGATTGCCCGACGATGTTAAGACCTGGAGAAACTATGCATATTTAGAAGAAATTTACGATGCTGTTCGCGCCACTGACAGTGAGTATATTTTTTCGATATCTTTAAAAATCGGATTTAATATTTGTCGCAGTAAAAGTACTCGTACTAACACATTTTTTTTTGGTACCATATATTTTATTACACTCATCTAAATTCCAATTTAACACTAATGGACAACTTAATGTTATGAACAATGCGATTATAATTTTCATATTAGCCTTCAATACCATTTAAGATAGAATCAGTTATTTAGGTTTGTTTAGCCGTTAAATTACGAGTTCTATGCATAGAAATATATCTTACAAAAACAAGGAGATAACATATTCGCAGTAATAAGATATTGTTCACTTAAAAATATTTGCTTCAAATATTAATTTAATTTGCAGGTTTGAGCACAGAAGACTTTATGGCAAAATTAGGAGAACATTTAATATTAAATGCGTTTTCACATAATTGTCGATTGGAAAGAGCATTCAAATGTCTAGGTACAAATTTAACCGAGTTTTTAACTACTCTCGATAGTGTTCATGATGTGTTACATGATCAGGTAAAAGATACGATTTTTTTATTGTTGTGAATTTTAAAAAAAGAATGTAAAGCAACATAATGTTATCAGGATGATGTTTTGAAGGACGAGACTGTTGAATATGAAGCTGCGTTTGTTTGTAAAATATCAAGAGACAAGATTGAGTTGTATCTCACAACAGAATGCGAGCCAGTTGCATATTTACTAGTTGGAAGCCTTAAAGCAATAGCAAGACGCCTTTATGATACCCAAGCTGACATAAGACTGATGACCTATACCAATGATCCAAGAAGATTTAGGTTTGTATTTTTTTAACATATTGAAAAGATTAATAAAGATATTAAAGCCAAATTGATAAAGATCAATTGTTTATAATATTATTGATCAATACAACGATAGATTCAATTTCAACAGTGGTAAAGCAACGCGGCAGCTTTTGCTGTCGCACGGATGGGCCGGCTCAAACCGGGGTGGTACCACGACCTCACAGAATACCAGAGTGAAATAGAGGTTTACCTCTGCGTTTGTGAGTGTGGTGAATGCAGATGGCCTGAGGCCCAATTCCTCCCCCCCCCCATCAACATGGTAGCGGAATTAGAAGACTACCCCAGGAGGGTATCAGCACCTCTGCAGAATCCCTCGCTGTGCATCTACGACCAAGCGACTCCACTCCTGAGCATGGGTAATCAGGCTGCCCCGCGTATTTGGGGGGGGAGGAGGGGGCCAAATTACGCTAATACTGCTATGGGTAAGCGGAGCAATAAGATCAAGGCGACCCCTGTCACGCTGTTCGTGAATTTTTGCAACATCAGGACTTCCATTCCAACCTTAACGCTGTCCACTACCATCTAGAGACAGTGAAGCCGGCCTTGCTCTTTTTGACCGAGACTCTGGTGTTCGACTCCTCCGCAGTATTGAAGCTACGGACCTGTCCATCCTATGGCTGCGCGTAGATAGCGACGACCATCCTCGCGTCTACTGGTGCCTCTATAGGTCCCATAGCGGTAATGCCGAAACAGACCGATTCATTGACCACGTCCAAATGGCTACAGATTACTTGTTACAGTAGATCTCATCCGAAGAGATTTTAATCCTTGGCGATTTTAACGCCCACCACGCCAAATGGCTTCGTTCATGTTCAAACGATCATGCGGGGAGATCTTTTTATGACGTTGCTTTGGCATATGGTCTTACACAGCTGGTTACTTCGCCTATGCGGATTCCAGACGTGAAGAATCATGCACCTTCCCTGTTCGACCATCTACTGACTTTTCATCCGAACGGATATCAAGATTCCATCGACGCTCCTTTAGGCTCGTCAGACCATTGTCTTGCACGGAGTATGGTGCCACTCACACTAACGTCGCGGTTGCCTTCTGCAGTCTGCTGCCGTGTTTGGCACTATAGTTCGGCCGATAGGGCCGACCTATAAAGCCGGACGGGATAGGATACGGTCTTTTTTTGCATCCTACCCTTAGGGGCGGGTTTGCTTCTCGCCGGAAGGTCTCAGCGTTGTAGCTAATTCTGTTGCTAATGTGGTACTTCAGGGTATGGAATTTTTTATTCCATCCTCTGTGGTGCCCATCGGAAGCAGATCCCAGCCATAGTTTAGTTGCTCTTGTAAAATAGCATCACGCTATAAACAGGAGTGCTACCGGGCCTACGCTGACGCATCGACGCCTCGGGATGTAAACACCAGCGCCCTTAAAACCAAGTATAATTCCACCTCCAGGTCATCATTGCCAAGGCAAGGTCTGCACATCGGCAGAATTGGCAAAAGGCTAGTTCACCTTCCTTCGGGAACCCGTGCATTCTGGTCTCTCGCCAAGGCTGTCCAAGGGAACTTCTCTCAGCGATCTCACAGCGATCTCTTCCATCTCTACACAGAGAGGTTGATTCACTGGCCCATGCCGCACAGGAGAAAGCCGATCTATTAGGCTCTCTCTTTGCGTCCAACTTGACTCTAGATGACGGGAGGATCACACTGCCGACCAGTCCGCGGTGTGAGTGTTCCACGCCGGATGTGCGGTTTACACAGCGCTCGGTTCGCAAAGCACTTTTCTCCCTGGACGTCAGCAAGTCGAGTGGGCCTGATGGAGTCCCTCCCATTGTGCTGAAGACGTGTGCTCCTGAGTTGGCACCGGTTTTAACGTGTCTTTTCCGGTACTCCTACTCCCAAGGCATAGTCCCGAATGCCTGGAAGACAGCTTTGGTCCACCCGATCCCTAAAAAAGCTGAACACTCAGATACGTCAAACTACAGCCCTATCGCCATCACCTCCTAGTTCTCCAAAATAATAGAGTATATTATAAACTGTCAGCTCATGAGGTCCCTTGAAGATCACCAGCTAATAAGTGACTGCTAATGTGGTTTTCATTGTGCTCGATCAGCTGGTGATCTTCTGGTCTACCTGACTCATAGATTGGCGGCGGCAGTAGAGTCCAAGGGGGAGGCATTGGCCGTTATTTTGAACTTACCGAAGGCCTTTGATTGGGTTTGGCACAAAGCGCTTCTTTCGATGCTTTCTTCCTATGGTATTCCCGAGAAATTGTGCAATTTGGTCTCCAGTTTTCTGGCTGATCAGAGCATCAAGGTCATACTAGACGGTACATGCTCCAATTACAAATCAATTAACGCTGGTGTTCTACAAAGCTGCGTGCTATCACCAACGCTGTTTCTTTTGCATATATATGATATGTTGCATGGTGACAACATTCATTGCTATGCAGACGACAGCACTGGTGATGCCATATACACCGGCCGTGCCAATATTTCTCGGGAAAACCTTGCCGAGTACCGGGACAAACATTCGTACGAAGTCGAGTCTTTGCTGAACAAAGTCTCGGATTGGAGATGACAAAATCTAGTCCAGTTTAATCCCCAGAAGACACAAAATTGCGCGTTTACCGCTAAAAAGAACCCCTTTGTCGTATCTCCTCAGTTTCATGGCATTCCCTTTGCTGCCGCAGCTACCATCGGAATCCTCGGCGTCGACATATCGAATAATGTGCAGTTTCGTGGTCACTTGTGTGTCCGTGGGCCCTTCCAAGAAGGCCAAATTAGCATCTAAAAAGCTTGGCGTGCCCAGCAGAGCGAGACAGTATTTCATGCCAGCACATCGCTTCCAACTTAACAAAGCGCAAGTTCGGCCTCACATGGAATACTGCTCTCATCTCTGGGCCGGGGCACCCCAATGCCAGCTCAATACACTTGACCGCGTCAATTTTATACGTAGTAGAGCCATGCTGCAGCTATATTTGTAGTATAGTTGTAGCACGAATGGATCGGCTCGACCGGGGAAAGACCATGCTCTCACAGAATACCAGCGTAAAATGGCAGCTTGACACTGCTGTGTGTCGTTTGGTGAGTGTAGAGAACCGGAGACCCATTTTACTGGAACAGAGGCATTCCATCTTAGTCCACACGGGTGACGATGCATCTGCATTTTGATTCTTTATTGAGGATAAATGTAGATGTCTATGGGTCACAGCAACTGCTTACCGTCAGGTGGACTATTTGCTCGTTTATCACCCTATCCTATGAAAAAATGCGGTTCGAATCGTCGACGATCGAGTTCTTTCTTATTAGCTCGATACACTGGCGCAGCGTAGGGATGTTGCATCCCTTTGCATTTTCACTCAAATCTACCACGGATTTGTTCGGATTAATTCCAGCCGCCAAATTTCACGAACGCACATCGCGTCAAAATTCACGATATCATCCTCACCATCTGTACGCTTGGCGGTCCACGACTATGCGTTTTACTAGGAGTTTTCCTCCACGTACAACTTCTCTGTGGAAATTTTTTACCACCGAAAAATTTTTCCGGACCGATACAAATAAGGGACCTTCAAGGAAAGAGCTTACACCTTTCTAAAGGGCCGGCAACGCATCTGCAATTCTCTGGTGTTGCGGTTGTTCATGGGCGGCGGTAATTACTTACCATCAGGTGAGCCGCATGCTCGTTTGCCCCCTCTTATATAAAAAAGATTCAATCTATGTTACTGTATTTATGCGTTCTAAAATTATTGTACAGGGACCTTGTTAAAATAAACATAAAGCAATAACATGTATTATAATTTAAAAAAACTTTAATTTTATACATTTATTACATTCAGGACCGATTTTTCCATCGTCAGTTAAAATTATCCATCAATTAAATTATACCGTGATTGAATATAAAAGTGAAACAAATTAACTATTGTAACCGAATTCAAAAAAGGAGGAGATACTCAATTCGACTGTATTTTTTATGTGTGTTACCTTAGATTTTTTTCTTAGTGAACCGATTTCGATGATTCTTTTTATATTTGAAAGCTTCAGGTTAAAGGTGCTTCTTATGTAGTCCTATATAAATTTGATCAAGATCTAACCGGTGGTATTTGTGTTATCCTTAATAATGCGTATTTAATTGACTTCGACCACATTGGCGATGTTCTCATTTTATTTATATTGAAGTCGGTTCTACAATTTTTTTAATTTTACCACTTGTATTCACACAACTGAGCCTAATTTTAAATTTTATTATCTTGTATTTTATCTTAAAAATGAATTTTTAATTATATTATTTAAAAATTTGTTTTTTGTCTATTTAAGCACTAAATGAAAACTTCATACAGGTATGAAATCTCAGCAACTCCCCTACATCCAAAACCCAAAGGAGATAAAAGTGAGACAGAAAACGAAGTAGCTTGTATTGCTTCATCTAGTAAGGCTGCAGATTTGCGCATTGGTGTTGCAAGCTTTTGCAAAGCATTTCCTTGGCATTTTATTACTGACAAACGATTGGAACTTGTACAACTAGGTAAGTGAAAATTTAGCAGAATGTATGTAGACTTCTCACACTTCTGGCCACAGACGCCTGTCTTGTCAAATATATCGATAATTCATAAAGTTTTACGCAACATCAAAAGCACTACAGCCGATCACATGATGTCTACTGTTGAACATAGATTATAAAAACGCATAGTTTTTAGACTTCTCTAAAAATGGATTCCTTGCGTATCTCATCAATCTGTCACTTCTTCTGGTGGAGATTATCTTTTATGATATATGTCAGGCAGGCCTGTCACTCAAGAACATTTTTTTCTACTGTCGATCATGCTATTAGTCCGGCCCATGAATGCTTCACAATACATTATGGAATCTCAATTGTTTTGTCCGATTATATAAATATTTGTAATAGATTTTACAACTTATAAGAACCCCGAGCGCCGCCCTCTACATAGCTCAGCGAAGGACTTCGAGCATTATAATATAGTTAGCGATAAATGATCATTATATATGAAAAAAAAATTACAAACATTTTCAAGAAAATTGCAATATACTTGGTAAATTATACACATATTATTTTGTTGCGATTATACATAATGTATGCGGAAACATGCCAATATATTCAAATGCTTCTTTCTACATTTTTATTGTTGGTTGAAACTCTGGCAGGCGCTGGATGCCACAAAATTACTGAATCTAAGAAATCGAAATAAAAAGAGAATGTAGAACTGCATTTTGTCCATAGCTGTCGATGGTTTTGGGATATTCTACCTTTTTATTGTTGATTGAAACTCTGGCAGGCGCTAGATGCCACGAAATTACTGAATCAAAATTTCATAGACCAGGTACCAGTGCGACGGTGACGACTTTGTTGAGCACTCCAACTTAGTGAACACTACAATCAAATAAAGCTGCCTACATGGTGCATTGCATAGGCCACACTAATAAGTTTTTCTATGTCGTGGAAGTTTTTTCAAACAAAAATGAAATAAAAAGAGAATCTAGAACTGCATTTTGCCCATAGCTGTCGGTGGTTTTGGGATATGCCAGTGCCAGAAATGTCTCATGGTGACATTACTATCTTGTATTTTAGCTAACTTAAAAAAAGTTTCTCAATTCGATTGCGTTCTTTTATGTATATACTTACGTTACGCGACACTTTTGCCAATTGTGAACCGATTTTGCAGATTTATTTTATTAATGAGGCTAAACAGCCTGCTAAGCTATTTTTATACGTGGTAGAGCCCTGCTGCAGCTATATTAGTAATATATTTGTAGCACGAACGGGTCAGCTCGACCGAAGAAGGTCCATGCTCTCACAGAATACCAGTGCAAAATAGCAGTAACGATATTGTTACACTATTATGTTTCGCATGGTGTATGTAGAGAATCAGAGACCCCTTTTATTGGAAACGTGGCATTCCATCTTAGTTCTCAAGGGTGACAACGCATCTGCATTTTGATTCTTTATTGAGGATAGATGTAGATGTCTATGGTTCACAGCAACCACTTACTATCTGGTTAACTGTATGCTCGTTTGTTCCTTTATCCTATAAAAAAAGCGTGGCAACTATTACAAATTTCTTTTTTATTAGGCAAATTATGGGAAAGCCCGTGTTTAGCAGTGTACGTTGGCTGTTATAAATAAATAAATAAAAAAAATGCTATACCACAAGGATGATCACATTTAAATTGGAAAAATAATTCCAGCTCTAACTACTTAAAAGACATTCTAGTTGTTACCTTGAGCTTGTGGAAATGAAACAGAAACAGAAACGTTTTTATTCAGTATAGATTATAAATATTACTTATTGATACATCAGTCTTTTATTTAATTAATACTAGTCCGAGAAAAAAAAATCTCTGTCCTGGGAAGAACCAGCAAGAAACCCAGCGGGATTTTTTTAAATAACAGCTTACAATCATGTATGTTACACATTTAGCAACACAAAAGAAATTAGAAGTAGCTTCGTGGCCATCACCTAATTCCCAGGGGTTATTATCGTCCATAAATTCCTTAATATTACTTATAATAACACTTTTTATAAAAAAATTGGTTAATAAAGTTTTTGAACCGTGAGCAGGTCAAAATTTGTATTTTCTGGGATTTTGTTGTAAAAGCGTATATATCGCCCCAAGAATGAAATACTAATTCGGTGGAGTCCAGTAAATGGTACTAGTAGATTTTCTCTGTTCCTAGTATTTACAGAATGAATATCAATTATTTTTTTAAAACTACATTTAATTTTGTGTACATACCTTTCCTTTCCATAAACATATTGAAAGGCCAAAGTTTATATATTAATTTCCTTAAATTTTTGTCGCAGCAACTCTTTAGGCTTTAAATAATGAATTGCTCTTATGGCCCTCTTCTGTAAAAACAAATATAATTTAAGTGGCTATGGAAATAGCTAAAGTAATTGGTTCAACACTCTTATGTGAGTCAAATAATTGAACTCAAAAGGTATAAGCCGATTTCAAAATACTAAAAGTATGAAATCATTTCCAGTGACACGTGGTATTGTCAAGATCAATCCGCCTGCCAAGCGAGGTGATTATGGAAAGTATAACGGTGAAGAAGAAGACAGAAATATATACTAGCACACGTAAAAGTCTCGTCCTTTCTAAACCCACTTTAGGTTCATAATATCTTTTCCAATACTTTTAACGTCGTGTCATTATGCAAGACTCGTTAGTTTTATGACCGTTTTTACTATTAGCTATAATTATTAACGACTTTTCAAGCGATTTACTTGAAATTGGATTAACATAATCACACTCAGGAGATTTGCCTTGAATAAAAACTTTACCCAATATAGCATTTCGTTGCGGTTTTGATCTTGATTAATAGCTACAATAACATTTTCACTATAGGTTAGCTGTTTAAAGTCAAGATTTTATTAAGTTAAACAAAAACACTATTAAAAATTAGTATTAATATTTTCACATTTATATTTTGGAAACAGATAACGTAACGTAACTTATCCAGAAATAATATTCTAATTTTATACAGAATTTCGTATTTCAAAACAAGTAAAATAATTTAAATTTTGTTTTGATTTTGCAACCATTAAAATCATATGTTATTAATTGTTTTAAGTAAACGAATGTTCGGTTAATTTGGAAAAAAATTATGGTCTGGCAAACCCCAGTTTTTATTTTTAGGTTGTTATTAGAAAGACACTGCTGCCTGTCTCCTTGTTTCCCTCTGTCGCTTCTTACGAAACCCACGAGACGATATGGGGTGGTAGATATTTTTTAACGCCACGGTAATATCTAATCCCATAAAAACAGCTATTGCATAAATCATAAAATGATATATATAATACGCGTATGTTCTTAGAACTGCAACGTAGATTGGCACTCGTTCAGGCCACAACTCTTTTATTGGCGAAGCTAATAATCTCGAACGTTGTTTGTACTGAACTTTGCCCCCTTTTCACATTAATTTTTTTAATGAGACATGATGAATATTTGGAAAAAAATCGTGTTGTTACTATTTTCACAATATTTAGTAGGGTTATATTCACAAATTAAATTATTATAATTTAATTTAAATTACAGGCATTAAAATTCCACAAGAGTTTCAAGTTACTAAAAACTAACCACACCAATAACTATATCAATAATTTGTTGTTGTGATACTTATAAATTATAAAATATCGATAATTAGTAGTTATTTTTAATTTGATAAGCATAATTATCTAATTTGATGCCAAATTTTAGGTTTCTAAGTCACCTTGAAGTGTACTAGGCTTTTGATGAGATCAGTACATCAGTGAAACAGTACAGTCAATCGGGGTAACTTTGACAGATCTTCACTATATTTTTTGTTAACTTTTACTATGTTCAAAATGAGACAAAAGAGTTTACTTAATCTTTGCTCTCAGGTTTGTTTTCATACTCTCAAGATATTTAAGGTCTATAAAAATCATAAAATATATCAAAACTGGCAATTTTGTTGTGTGTCAAAGTTATAACCCCTATACGGATAACTTTGACACATATGAGATTTGTCGCAGGAATTTTATCTTTTAAACATTTTATAGCTTCAGGGTAGCATAAGTTTAAGTTTTTAACAAATTTTAGATGCAGTGGAGTCATATACAAGTCAATAAAACCATCAAGATGTAGTTGTATCTTTATTTAAACTCTTTGGTAATTACATTTAAAGTTTTAAAAGTTTACCACTGCAAAAAGACAACAGTTGCACGTGGTACTTTTAAATAAGTTTTTGACATTAACTTCGTAAGACACCTTCTTTTTTTTCCAGAGGGTTCGTTTACAAAGTTTGTTAAGTACACGAATTGTATAAATTTAATGTTATGCACTAAATGTTGTGCACGTAAAAAATAAAAAAGTATTTTGTGACTTGACTATCAAAGTTACCCTTGTTAATCAAAGTTACCCTGATTGACTGTATAGTGATCAAATGGCATTTTTCACAAACACTATAAAGAACTTATTCATGTAATTTAAGAAGTCATTTATTTGTATTATATTATTATGTGGGATTTTAGGTACTCATAGGTTGCCAAACAACAAGTGTGTAGGTCTAATGGTTTTAGAACTAAGGAAGTTTCGAATGTTATTCAAATGGGTTCGTGTAATTAGCAACACTGCCGTTGTGTAGCTATTTTTATCCCATTAAAAAAAGAGGTCCATACATAGTTCGGTACTGTATAGTTTTTTAAAGGTATGTTACGTGTTACTTTTTAATTTACCTATTTAGATAGAGTTATAGCTGTAACCTTGAACTTTTTTTTATAGAACAAGGGTGACAAAAAGCACACAGTCCACTTGATGGTAAGTGGACGATATGGCCTATAGATATCTACATTTATCCTCGATTGAGAATCAAAGTTCAGATGCGTTGTTACCCCTGAGGATTAATATGGAATACCTCGTATCCAGTAAAAGGAGTCTCCAGCTGTCTACACTCACCATATAAAACACAGCAGGCTTTCTGTAAGAGCATGGTCATACCCCGGTCGAACCTAACGATTCGTGCTACAAATAATATAGCTGCAG